GATTGGTGGCACCAAAAAGTTACCCGCCTGGAAACTTTGCAACATAGTATAGCTGCAAAATACATTCACTTATGCTTTCTTCTCTATGGCCTTTGATGTTAAAAGTGCACACAGAGAAACAGCTAAACCCCCTCCCCCAGGTGCCCTATCAAGGTCAGTTTTAGCCACACTGTCAAACTGGTGACATTCACCTGTGTTTAAGAAAGACCAGACAGAAAGGCACTACTACAACGTGAGGATTCTGCTATTTTCACCTTCCTTGACTTCTCTACAGAGTTACAGAAAAACAGCCACATTTATTGAAGCTGAATGTAAATTTTGTGAAAAAGGCTTAATTTATTTAATGGCCTATCCAGCACAACTATGTGTTATCAATAATAGGAGAGTGTACTTTCTTTTTTGTTCATTAAGATGCTCAGGATTCAGAGATAATTGGGTCTTTGAAGGTTGTACCTGGTTGTACCTGGATCCTGTTGGACTTGACAACTGCCAGACCTGCTTGGAATGTGACCTTCCAGGACTGGAGTCTGCTTGTGATGCTTTCCAGACCACTGTGTTAGTTATTCGCAAAGCATTTTCTAGGTCCAGAGCGGTGGCAGATCCTCTAGTGCAGGGGTAGGCAACCTTGGCTCTCCAGCTGTTCTGAATCTACAAATTCCATTGGGTAGGCCATGCGAGTCAAGCGCTTGGAGCTAACTCATTTATTAGGCCATTTGGGCTCTATAATTATCCCCTTTTTCTGCTTCTTCCACAGAAAGAGTTAAATGTGGAGGAATTAAGTGCTTCACTAAGTGAAGCGCCACATGCACACACTCTGTGCTCTTTCCCTGACACTCAGCATGAGGTAGCACCTTCCCGCCACTGCTTCTATGTAAAATAAAAACAAAAACTGCGATCCACCTTCTAGGCTAGAATAACACATATCTTAAAATACAGTATTTTAGAGATATTTATGGGAGGGTTTCATTATACTTGTTGATTTCCACAAGCATCTAATATTTTAAGTCAAATATTTCTGATCTATGTTAAATAAAGAATTATATTCCAACCTTTTTATAGTTCCATAGCCAAAAGAGGGCATCAGCCACTTCTTGGATCTCAAGCCCGTAAATTTGTTTATTCTGTCCCATGAATTCCATATGGAATTCACCCAGTTTGTCATAGCTTCCATTCATCAGGGAGACATTCTGTCTTCTGTACACATAAAGCCTCTATTTTTCCAGGACTACAGCGATTCTTTTGGTTTGCTCTGGAACCTTAGCACTTCCAGTTCATGGCCTTGACATTCCCTCTGTCTTCTGCAACCCGTGTATTCACCAAGTATCTAGCCTCATTGCTTGCCTTGGTATGTTCCCAGTGCTTCCCTATTGAGGGACATCTGAACCACCTCCTGTTGAGGGAAACTGTCTGCAAAGGTCCTGACCAAAATACTTAAAACTCTCTGCTGACTGGTACTCTTCAGTCCAAAAGGTAGCTGATTCTGTTTCTGCATGTGAGTCCTAGGGCTGATGGTAGACTCTTTCAGAGCATTCCTGTGTACCCAGTTTCAATCCAGGCCTCTGCAGCTCAACATCCTGCCAGTGTGAAATAAATCGGTTCAGTCACTGGGCAAAGTGGTTCACCCGACACCAAGGACCAAGTTGTCTCTTGCCTTGTGGCTAAGGAATCCAGCTCTGGAGTTGGGGAAATCCTACCTTCCATAATCTTAGAAGATCATCGCAGCTGATTTCCCCTGATTTTCTGTCCTGTTCTGGCTTTGATCAGCATTTGGCCCTGAGTACTATCAAGGGTCATAGCTCAGCACTTGGAAACTTATTACAGCCACCATTAGTCTCCCATTCATTTGTTTTTGTGTTAATTCTTTATTAACTGAAAATGTACAGAACAAGTAAAAAGCATTGCCAATGACAGTCAGCCATCAAGACATGACTAGTACAATGTACAAGTAAGAAATATAGCATGGAAATGCATCCAAGAATAAAGAACGTGGCCATAAATGTATCTCCTTGATAATAATGACAGAAATTATACTTAAAAACATCAAAAAACATTGTTTCAAACCAAATGGATGATCCATAAAAGAGAAAAGAAAACAATAACTACTTCATTGAGAGTTCAATTAGAATTTCCTGATACCTTAATAGACATTACGGCTGAAAAGGAATTAAGACAGAGGAATTAAAGCAGAGAAATTGTGCAGGCGCGAAAAAAAACTTAAGCAGAAGAGAACAAGAAACCTGAGTTGCTCTTCCCACCCACCCATCCACGTCAGACAGAAAAAATTAAAAGAGGGGATTTGTATCCTGGAACAAAAGCCGTCAGCAGATTGCACACTGGGATTAGAATATGCCATGTAAAATGTAATCAGCCAGTTAACCGGTCATAAGGGTAGCATACAGTAACAGTCAGAGTGCTGAAAATAGATACAGGAATTCCTTTCA